GTCAGGGACAGCTTCTACTGTCCACAGATGGATGCGGATGCGGGTGAATCAGTTCAGAGTTCATCCTCCTCCCGATTACCGCAACTCAGCAAATCTGCTCAGATGGAAACATGTGACATTATACAAGGCCAAAATTAAACAATGATTAAACTCTCAAGATAAGGAAGTTGACCCAAGCTCTCACTGCCAAGTATATTGAATGATGAAAATAAACACCACCTCAACTTTGTTCTATCAGTTTCTGAGGCATTTTTTTTCTGTCCGTTCATTTTGACCTTATACTGCTGCTGAAACATTATCATTTATTGGTTTTGCCTTTCTGTTTCTTTCTAAAACTTTCCTCAGAATGAAGTATATATGGACCGGCCACATGTGTGCAGTTGCAGCTTACGGTGTGTGTGGGACTGAGTTGTGGACTCTGGTTCTCAGAGCTCTCCGCTGCAACACTAAAGTCCTGGTACGATGTTACAGCTGCTTTTCTGTTTGCCTGTTTTATTTTTGAATTTAACAACTAAATCCAGACAATTTGCTGAACTCATCGATATGGCTTGTATTATTTATTGACCAAAATCCCCTGACTGTTCTATTCATCATTTCTGTTAGATTTAATATTTTGCCTGCAAATGTAACGATATCAATAATGTTGCTCAGTCTCTGATGAACATCCAGATAAAAAGCTAATTTTGTCGTGTAGAGCTCTGTTAAAGTTTGCACCTGTGTAAGAATTTAGGATGATTTTCTGGTTTGATGTGAAGGTGAGTCATTCTGCTCCCTGTGCACCGGTCATGATGTCACTGCTTGTGAATCCACTAGGTGTCAGTGTGGTCACAACATGTCAGCAGGATCACATTAATGAAAGTCAGAACTGCTATCTCTGTCTTTCTGTACTGGTCTTAAATATTTTGTCATATTTCTTGCTAACTTTAAATGTTCTTTAAATTATTTTTTGACAGTTTTTTATAGATTTTTACGATTGTAGTTGCTTTAATTATTTTCTCTCCATTTGCAGTTGAGGCTTGTCAGATACGCTGTTCCCCTGTTGATGCTGTGTTGGCTGTATTACAAGGTATGCTGTTTTCTTGGTGGTTTCTGCTCATTGCTGTATTGGCAGCCTCATTACTGAGCTGGGGTCAGTTAAAACCTTAATTAATCTAGTGAGGGAGGGAAAGTGCCCTAAATGGAAATTAAAGAAAGAAAAATGTAATCAGAATTTGGATCCAAGCAGTACACTGAGTCTTTTTTTTCATGTTAGGGAAATGTAAAGTTAGCATTCACTGTTAGCCTGAGTTTGAACTTAAGATGGTAAGATAAGTTTTAACGACATCACCGTGTTTAATTCTTAACTTTTTATCTTAATAAATGTTACAAGGTTCCCTTTGGCTTCTTTGTTTTTGCTCAGTTCTGGCCGAAGCTGATGGAGGAGTTAACAGAGCTGAGGGAGTTCTATGATCCAGACACTGTGGAGCTCATGACCTGGATTAGGTACACACACATGCACCTACTTTTAGAAATCTAGAGCACACATTATATTGATGCAAATTTGATTAGCTTGTTTTGGTAGAGCAGCCCCCCACCCTTTTTTTTTGCCTGATGTCCCTGATTAGTGTGTGCGGGTAAGTGAGTGCACTGACGCTTGTTTGCGGGGGTGTCTGTCTGATGAGTGATGAGAGCTGATGGGTTGTCATGAATAAGACATGGGGGTGCTGGAACAAACCCAGCTGTTGGTATGGCTCTAATCCACCTCGGTGTCTCCGGGACTATGTTGTCCTGATGGGAGCAAAGGTGGGGTTTGGATTGGGAATGTTTGCACTCTCTTGTTTTGGTGTTTGTGTTTTTTTTATTTTATATTTTTTGTCATGTTTCTGGTCATTATGTTGGATGTGCAGCACTGGGTGTTGGGTGGGAGGCCTTTAGTTCAGCCACAATAACTGATCATGTTGCCTGTTCTCTCACAGAGCTTGTTATTTGTTTCCCAGTTAGAGTCCATTTGTGGAGTGAAGTGAGTTCAGCTTGAATTGGTGTTGGGGTCAGTGGGTATTAGTTGGAGACAGGTCAGAAACTTGTCAGTGCCGATGAAAAGACATTTTAACTTAAGATAGAAACATACTGAGACATGACAGCTGAGACAAAACAAAACCTGAACCTGAAATAAAATCTTCATTCTTCAAATATTTACAATCCTGCTTGAGAGTATGCAAACAGTTTGAACTGGAAAAGCATGTTCTTATGCCTATGTATTTCTACAATATGTCTAGGGATACACAATAACTTATTTTAAGAACCGATACTGATAATTTTCCTCTTCTAATGGCCAATAATCGAAAATAACCGATAACATGCCAGGATATAAAACTAGTCAAAAATGAGTAAGATCATAACATAAACTAGATACCGCATAGCGGTAATATAATGACCCCCGCACGCACAAATGCACCAGAACTCAGAAGTCTTTATTCCTAATAAATGTCAATGCTACTAGGTGCATCCCAAAATTGTAGTGGTTTGGGTGGGGGTCTTTTTTATTTTTATTTAATTTTTGGTGTGTGTGTGGTGGTGGGGAGGGGGCACTGGTTAACCTGATGGATAGCCCCTCATCAGAGCTAAACAACCAAAGAAAATCTGAAGCTCCTGTGTTTAATAGTTTTTGAGCTATAACCATTTTTGTATGTCCAGATACCCCTTTTTCAGATAAATTGGGGGTCTGGATGGGGGGAGCACTGACTGGTGGGCCTGATGGATAGAGCTTCATCAGAGCTAAACAACAACAAAAAAAAATCTGAAGCTTCTATGTTGAAGAGTTTCTGAGTTATAAGCATTTTTCCATGTCCAGACACCCCCTCTTTGAAAGAAGCCACCTCCTCAAATATGGGGTCTATCGTAAAACAGTTGGCTGGCGCAGCGTAGGTCAGACTCATCTACCGTCCTGTCAAATTTCACGTTGATTGGTGCAGCCGTTTTTGTGATACGGTTGACCAAAAATCACTAGAAAAATAAATAAATAAACAGTACAAAAACCAGTAGCAAGGACCAAACACACTATATCAGCACAAACCCCTCACATCAACTGTTGAGCACGGTGTGGGAGGACTGATGATTTGGACCAGCACCACGGCTCAGTGATGCCTCACAGCAGGAAGGTCCTGGGTTCAATCCCCGGTTTGGACCTGGGATCTTTCTGTGCCGAGTTTGCATATTTTTTTGTACCTGTGTGGGTTTTCTCAGGATACTCCGGTTTATCCCACAGACCAAAAACATGTGCAACAGGTTGACTTCAGGCCCAGACCTCCCCTTGCAAAAAAGATCTGTGAATGGGGTGTGCCTGGTTAAATAAAGGTTAAAAAAAAAAAGGACAGGACCAGGTACTTTGCAGTCATTGAGCTGACCATGAATTTCTCTGCAGACCAAAGTGTTTTGGAGTCAAATGTGAAACCATCCATCTGACAGCTGAAGTTCAGATCAAATAGGTCCCGAACAGGACAGCTCAGCAGTGAACGTTCAACAGAACAGTTAAAAAAGAAAAGTATGAAGCTATTGTAATAATCCAAAGTTCAGACTTCAGCCTGATTTAAGGGCTGTGCTGAGACATCAGGAACTGTGCAAAAATAAATGCCTGCAAACCTCAATGAACTGAAAACTGGATTAATTTTATTCCAAAATTGTGTGGGACTGATAAGATCATATAGATAAGTGTAATATGTGTTGTTGAGGTTGACATGAGATTTTAAAATGTGTAAATAATCTTAGAATTGCAGGGAGATAGCAATTCTGTTTACCATAAATGTTTACCTTGCAAAATTAAGTTTGGTGTCCACAAATAAAAAAAGGTGTATAAATATTGAATTTTGAATCCGTTGTTTGTGAATGTGGATTTGTTATAGAAACATTAGTATCCATTACTGTAACTGCAAATATTTAATAAACCATTTTACCTGTTCATTCCCAATTTAACCCAAAGAGGTGAAAAAGGAGTGACTGATGAGGTTGACGAAACTCAAAAATAAGCTTCATTGCTTATATCTTGAACTTGAAACTTGACAACCGATAAAGCATTAGCAGTAAAACATGAGACTTTTTCAGGGATTCTCTGAGCTGAAATCACCTGTTGACCTGGTTCAGTGTGTTGGCTTGACTTTGGTGTTGTGTTAGAATCAGTTTCTGTTGACTAACCAAAACTAATCAGGCAAGGTTTAGACTCTTTTAATTGATATTCACTAAAGTTTCCCCCCTTTTTTAATGATTAAACATTTTTTAATGTATTTTGGAATGCTGTCTTTGAGTCAACCAGTTGCAGGTTTTACGAAATGAATTTGGATCTAATCCAATTAAACAGATAGCGGAAAGGCACAGACGGAAGGAGGGGCAGTGATGGGGAGACAGTGGAGGAGAGGTTTGGATCATGAATGTTTTTGCGTGTGTGACACGGGTTCCCTTCCCTCCACAGCTAATCCTATCAGGCTCTGAGGATTAGGGGCTGCCTAGCAGTTACCTTGGTCAAAGCGGAGAGCAGGGTGGAGCGCTAAGCTGCTTGCTGCTGCGCTAATTACATTCCAGATGAAAGCATTAAGATGGGGAACGGGGCTCATATTGCACTGTATTCTCTAAGTGACTGAGTCTGAGGCTATTTAGTTTTATGTGGAAAGTTCATGAGGGATTGTCGGAGCGTTTAATAATGAGGGGCAGAACAAGGACAGATTCATGCAAATAGGAGACAATATATTTTATGACCAGCTGGTGTGTTTATGTAAAGCTGTTAGGGACTCATTGTGCTAATTGTAGCTGCAGGGAATGTAATGTGGTTCTTCATCGAAATGAGGGGAAAAAAAGGATTTGCAAAGTTCAACAGCTAATTTTTGTCTAAAGATTTCTTTTTTGAGTTTTATTCTATGGTACGTCCAAGTTAGAATCAGGATTAGAATAGAATGAGTTTAGAATGGGTGATAAGATTAGATGAGAGGAAAAATGATCACAAACTGGTTAGTGAGTTTTTCCCTTGTGCTTTTTTTTTAGATACTAAAACGTGACAGACTGAATATTATTATTTCTTTGACAGTGTTTTATGAACCATATTCCTACAGATTTGAACTTCGTTTAATGCGATGACAGCTGGGGAGACGTCATTTGTCATTTTGCAGAGACTTGAGTCACAGGTTTCCTTTTGATAAGAGCTGCAGTTTCCACAGTAGCTGTAGGTTGTTCTAAATAAAGAGTCAATAAAAAAAAAATGGATGGTTTTAGTTGCAGCCCAGCCCTCAGACATGAGCTGAGTCTTGGCCGTGAAGGACTCAGTGCTAGTGCTGGGCGGTATGACCAGAATTTTATATCACGGTATTTTCAACATTTACACCGGTTTCATGCTATATCACGGTATTTTTCTTTTCGTCACAGGTCAGCTGATAATAAAATGTACAAACACTGCTTATTAACTTTTTACTTTTACTGTACCTCCGTCTGTGTCACTGTTTCCCTCCTCTAAACATCTTTTCTTTTCCTCCTGGTTGGAGACAGTCACGCATTTTGGTCCAGTCATGAGGAGGAAGGTTAAGATAATTATCGGGTCTGTTTTATGTTATTTAATAAAGATTAACAGCACGACTCACCTTGCACACCAGTCAACTCAATTCCACTACAAAACTTCTCCCCCCGGCTTTTCACAATAGAAGCACGCTAAAGTCTCCATGCGTCTCCACGTCTCCATAAAGTCACATGTTAAATCTAACTGTGGTTAACTAACGGGATGTTTTTTTTTAACGTCGGTCAATATAAGCAGCAGAATCGCCACCGGTCGCTGCAAAAAACTGTTCAACGATAACATTAGCATGCTAACGCACATAGCGGTGCAGCGAGGAAAAGTGTCCCCTGGGAAACAGTTCACTGGCGGCCGCGACGAAACATTCTGAACGTGTTCAGGATATTTAAACCGGTATGTCGGTATTCAGAAAATTCATATCATAACAAAAATAAAAAACGGTATTCGGTACGAACCGGTATACCGCCCAGCACTACTCAGTGCTGTGGTTTTATTACCAGGTTCAGAACAGGAGTAGTTTCAGATCAGGTTTAACAGGAACAGCTGATTCTGGGCGTCCCAAAGCTCAGTACTGTCAACAGCCTGCACGCTGCAGGTTGGTGCACGCTGCAGGTAGAACATCCAGCAGTGCTCCCAGCACAGTTCATGGTACAAACAGCAGCTGGGAGGATTTCACATTGAATATAACAGAAAGTTACAGTTTGAAGAAGACACTCTTTTTTTTGTTAATATCAATTTCACGACTCCACATGAACTAAAAATTCAAATCACAAAATCAGTTCCTGCTGTCACTTGCTCCTATGAAGCAGCTCTCATCAAACACAATCCAACAAATTCAGATGCCTTCTGAAAACACTGGTCTGCTGGGAATCCAGTCTCAGGAAGTATGTTTTATTTCGGAATGATTTTTTTTTTTCCTTTCACACCCCCGCTTTGTGCCTCTGAGTCTAGATAT